TGAGAACCCTAAGATCTGGGAGGGTCAGGACCTCAATGCCATTTGACAGATTGGAAACTAAAAACAAATCAGAGGTAGGGCTGAGTCCACATCCACAGGCACCAGCAGAGCTCTGCATATGCTATACTGCTAGTGCTCCCTAGCTCACTCATTTTATTTGTAAGGGACAGGAACACTTGGAACATTCTGAAACACAGCTAGAGAAACACAGGACAGAACAATGGGGAGCTGGGAGGGCTGGAGCACAATGTAAGAAAAACCACACTTACCTTTCCTCCGGGTGTACCTGATGTGCACACTGCCTCAGTGCCTCACTTTTTTTTTTTTTAATGTTTTTATTTATTTTTGAGACAGAGGGAGACAGAGCATGAGCAGGGGAGGGGCAGAGAGAGAGGGAGACACAGAATCCAAAGCAGGCTCCAGGCTCTGAGCTGTCAGCACAGAGCTCGATGCGGGGCTCGAACTCACAAACCGTGAGATCATGACCTGAGCTGAAGTCGGACGCTTAACTGACTGAGCCACCCAGGTGCCCCATCAGTGCCTCACTTTTATGGCTACAAGTTTTATAGCAGCCCTTCTCAGACTACAAAACTCAACTGAAATTCATCCAGCAATTCCTAATGCTTGCACTAAGATCGTGTCTAGACAGTTTTCTACAAGGTATGACTTGGGGCAGAATATTCCTGCTCCAAAAGATGCCCTTGTACCAGCCTGCTCTTGTAGATAAAATACTCACAATGGTTACTCCTACTAAAATTAATTCATTTGGTGTTCAATGTTTATTTGGGGGCCGATTTTGCACAGGAAATAGAACTTAGGTGTGATATGAGAGTCAACATTGGTTTGATTAGTGTTCATAAGCAGAGGGGAGATAACGCACATATGCACTATTCTATAATTATAGTTATCATTTTAGGTTGCTTATTATGTACTTTATTTCTTTATATATATTTAGTTCAAGGCTTAAGAACTGCCTTGAGGGGCGCCTGGGTGGCGCAGTCGGTTAAGCGTCCGACTTCAGCCAGGTCACGATCTCGCGGTCCGTGAGTTCGAGCCCCGCGTCAGGCTCTGGGCTGATGGCTCAGAGCCTGGAGCCTGTTTCGGATTCTGTGTCTCCCTCTCTCTCTGCCCCTCCCCCGTTCATGCTCTGTCTCTCTCTGTCCCAAAAATAAATAAACGTTGAAAAAAAAATTAAAAAAAAAAGAACTGCCTTGAAAAGTAGACATTTGTATACCCCTTTTACAAATTAAGAAGCTGAGATTAAGAAACTTCCCCAATTTCTCACACCCAAGTAGTAGTAAATAGGCTTTGAACCTCAACGTGTATGGCCCTTCCACTCATTCCACACTTCTTCCCTACAAATGGTCCATTAGAATAAGCACTGAGTTATCTGAGTGGTAAAACAAAATGCCAGAGATTCAGAGATGAAGAAGACAATCACTTCCAGAGGTGATGATTGGGAAAGGTGTCATGGTGGAAAGCATTTGGGAGATGGTGGTGGGACTTGGGTACAGAAGGAATATATGCTATTTTCTAGACGGAGGGAATGGCTCCAGCAAGAGCATGGAGACGAGACTGGTTTGGGTCATGTAGAATGGTATAATTTAATATGCAAGATTTATCCTGAAAAGATAGCGGGAGGCAAGGCAGGAAAGGTACTTTGAGGCTAGATTGTGGAGAGTCTGATAAAGGAGAAAGGACTCACCCTATGTGGCAATGGGGAGCCATTAAAGTCCCTACCACCACCATCACCACCACCTCTAGGGACTTGGGGCCATATACAGACTAGATTTGAAAGGAAATGAGGAAATGGGAGTCCACACTACACTGCCACAGATGATAAGCTCTAAGAGCAGTGGTGGTAGAGAGTGGAATAGAGCATCCTGAGAAGGAGGCACTCTGGCACCAAGGAGAAGAGCACTATATCTCAGTGACCAATGGGTTGTGGAGAGTAGAGGAAAGGGATAAGTCAAAAAGACTCCTATGGGGAGAGCTTCAGTGACCAGGAGAAATTTGGAACCACTTACAAAATGTGGGCAGCAGGAAGAGTGTTGGCCTAGGGGAAAATAACCACCTGGGAAGTGTCACCTCTTAAATTCAGGGTCTGGTGGCCAGGTATGTTATGCTGGGGGCAGCCAAGCCTGTGGGATGGAGCCTGAGCAAAGAGGAACCAAGCTAGGGCCACTTCAGCAATAGAAGTCTAGGATGAAGTAGGAAGAACAGGAACAGGCAAATAAATAGGAGGAAAGGAGATTTGGGGGCAAAAAGACAGAGTAGGCTACTCCCCTCTATCCCTTTGCTTAAAGAGGAACCTTTCTTCTTACAATGAATGAATGGATGACTGCAAACAATGAATGAATGTAAATTTAGCCAATGCTTCTGCCTGTCAAAGAAAGTGTGAAATAGTCAATTAGTTGCTTCACTATCCAAACAGACTATAGTCCACTGTAAATAAACCATTTTGAATTATGTAAGCCACCCCATAATGGAGCTTACTGGTATGGTTCCTGGGTTTGAGCCCAATCTTTTCTCATAAAGCGAAATCAAGATAGTAGTGGTTTCCCAGCCAATAATGGGTTCTTAAATGGGTTTGAGCTTTGTGAACACTACCAAGATAAACATTTACTTTAGGGGCAATCACAGTAAAGAAGAATCTGTTACGTCTTGGGAGAGGAGAAGGAGAGTCTAAAAGGCAAGTTAGATGAGGTAGTCTCTACCACTGAGGCAAGATGGCCAACTTCACCCTCCTCCCTGGCAAGAACCACCACAGCTCTGTGCCTATGAGCCACTCTCTCCCTCTTGTTTTTTTTACCCCTTTAAAAACTTTTAAACAAATTGCCTGAGATGATAGCCTTTGGCAAAAGTACAGGGACAGAGTCCCTTCCCAAGTGATAGGCTTCCCACTGCCCCGCTCTCTCCTCCCCACCCCCACTCCCCTTCACAAGTCTCAAGGTTATGGCACCTTAATGGTCTTGTGAGTAAAAGCAAAGGGGAGTGAGTTTCCAGGAGAAACCTTGAGGTTTTATCAGCCTCAGTAGGTTGGGAGACTACAGACAGTATTAAAAAGGCTCAAAGAGTAAAACAGGAAAAGTTTCCTACTACAAGTAAAGCACTAGTTTACAAAGGCTGCTCTTCCTCTAGTTCATTATTATGTTTCTTTAAGATCTGCTTCTTGTGCTTACAGCTGAGATAGGTATGCATCCTTGGGATGGGCCACCATATTGTTCCTCTTTGTCTTCATAATTTGGAAATTCAGCATTTGTCTTTCTACTTCAAACAAAGAATAGCAATTCATTTTTTAGAGAGTTTGAAATTACCTAATCACATTTTCAGGACTGGGATCATTGACCCAAAAATCCAAAAGCTGAAACCAACTGGTAGTGGCCTTAAAAATGAATGTTAACAATAAAAAATAGTATGGTGAAGCGATGCACATGGTGTCTTTGGCTCTGTTGAAGCATTTTCAAGCCTGCCATCTTACTGAGTCTTTGAAACAACTCTTTTCTGAGAAGTGGACAGGAAAGGCATTAATACCCCATCACACAGACCAGTAAACTAAGACAGAGATTAGTCATATGACTTGTCCTAGAGATACAGAGAGTTCATGGCAGAATCTAAACCAGAAACCAGGACTCCCGACTGCTAGTGGATGGTTCATTTCTCCCTGGGTGAAATTATTACTCAGGGCAACAGCTTTAATTGCTAAACAGACTTCTACCACTATCCTGTGTTTCAGTTTCCAAATGAATAAAATGGAAGTAATAATAGGACTTACCTGATAGGGTTTTGGTGAGGATTAATGAGTGAATTTAAGTAAATTACTCAGAGTAGCACTTGGTATATAACAGGTGCTGAGTAAGCATTAGAAATTGCTATTATTAGGATGTGGAAGAAACTAGAATACATTTAAATCAAAGTTTACTAGCTATAAGCTTTCATTTCCGGCTTAAGGCTCTGATTTTTAAGGTTCATTAATTCTCTTGGAGGGACAGAGCTACCTCTAAGAGCTATCTTCCTGAATTGCCTGCTAATTATGGGTTTGCTGCAATACACAAGGTTCTCATACAGATCTTCTCTCTCCCTTTGACACTTAAACAGGAAAGTTATCTGGAAATCTGTGGTTTCTGAAGCTATGTTTGACTCTCTAGGGAGCTTTTTCTGCATAACATTAAGGGGAATGGCTGGCTCACAGGAGGTGGTTGTCAATTAAAGTCCAGCTCCATTGCCAAGGAAATTTAGAAAAGTCCAAGTACTTGTGGACTCAGATGAAAACAATCTTCCACTTGGAAGCAATTCAAGGCTGGCATTGATGAAGCACTCAGTGTCCTCAGCCAGGGGCTTCACTCCAAAGGCAGTAATTAGAACTGTAGAGACATTGAAACATACCAACCTCAGGCCACCTACTTCAATCACTCTCACAATTTAGGAATAAGGATGAGAACGAAGAAAACCAGTATGAGAGGCTGCATCAATCCCTCTAACAGCTAATGTTGAAATGAATGATCTTTCCATTTGTTCTGATCAGCAAATCTTTGCTTCTTTTTCCTCAGAAATAGTTGACTGAAAACTCTCCTGGCTTTTGGTGGCTAAAACGTTAGAACTGCTCCAGAATTTTTTTGAGATGACTTCCTACACTGATTTTACTACCAGGTATTGGGACCATCAAGGTGTTCCCTCACCCAGTGTTCTTTGGGTCTCCCTCAGCTTCACTGCCATGGTCTCCACTCCTCAGAATCACCAGACCTTTGTTGCCTCAATCACCAAATTCCTGCCCCCTTACAAGTTTAATGGGTTGGACTTTGAGAGTACCCTGGCTCTCATGGGAACCCTGCTCAGGACAAGCATCTCTTTACTATTCCAGTGCAGGGGAGCCATCATTTTGGCTGGAAAGCATACAACCAGTCTAAGAAAGATCACTGAGGCTGTACAGAAAACCTAGCTCCCTACAGTATCAGTTGGAGATGAAGGATCCTATTCTAGTGAGGATGCTAAAGAATGAAGAATGGGAAAGATTAATTTAATTCAAAGAGTGGTCATGGAAATCAACTCAAGAGTTGATGTTCATAGACTTTCTCCTATGTACAGGAGACATGTGAAGCTTATGAATAAGCCAAGCAGATTAACAAGCCCAGGCTGATGGTCACCACCACGGTAGCTGCTGGCATCTCCAACATCCAGTCTGACTATGAGATTCCCCCAGATGTCCTGGTGAGTGATGACTTTTCCCCATCTCCTCCATATGTCACTTGTTCAGGAGACACTCATCTTTGGTCTGCCTGCTGTTCAGAGACCTTGTTTAGAAGGCTTTCTTGAACTGAACACAAACAAAAAAAGCTTCATTATCCAAAGCAAAGTTAAAATATGAGTTTAAATAACTTAAAAACTGGAGGTTGTATTAATTGGGGTTCTTAAAAATTTTTGTTTTTTTTTAAAGAGCATAACGTAAAATTTACCATCTTAACCATAAATGTACAGTTCAGTAGGGTTAACTTAATCACATTATTGTGCAACAGATTTCCAAAACTTTCACCTTGAAAAACTGAAAGTCTATACCCAATGAACAGCAACCGTCCCTTTTCCCTCACCCCCAACCCCTGGCAACCACTATCCTGATTTCTATGTCACAGAGTTTGACTACTTTAGGCACCTCATGTAAGTGAAATCATGCAGTATTTGTCTTTTTATGACTAACTTATTTCGTTTAGCATCATATCCTCAAGATCCAGCCATGTTGTCCCAAATGGCAGGATTTCCTTCTTTTTCATGGCTGAATAGTGTTCCATTGTGTGTGTGTGTGTGTCTGTGTGTATGTGTGTATTTGTGTATATTGTGTACATCTGTTGGTAGACGCTTAAGTTGTCTCCGTTATCCTGGTTATTGTGAATAACGCTGCAATAAGGTAGGAGTATAGATATCTTTCAGTATCATGTTTTCACTTCCTTTGACCCAGAAGTGAGATTGCTGGTGGTTCCATTTTCAATTTTTTGAGAAACCTCTATACTTTTTGTATTGTGGCTGAACCAGTTGACATTCGTGCCAACAGTGCACGACGGTTTCCATTTCTTCACATCCTCACCAACACGTTGTGTTTTGTCTTCTTGGTGACAGCCATTCTAACAGGTGTGAGGTGATATCTCATCATGGTTTTGATTTGGCTCTCCCTGATGATTAGTGATGTTGAGCATCTCTTCATGCACCTTTTGGCCCTTTAGATGGATTCTTTGAACATTTTTGTCTATTTTTAAATTGGACTGCTTGGGGGGGGTTGTTGTTATTGAGTTGTATGAGTTCTTTACATATTTTGGATATTAACCCTTTATCCAATTTATGGTTTGCCAATATTTTTTCCCATTCCATAGTCTGCCTTTTCATTTTGCTTATTGTTTTGTTGCTGTGAAAAACCTTACTTCTTTGTCTTGCCTAATGTCTCTGGCTAGGACTTCCAGTACTATGCTGAACAGAAGGAGCAAAAGAGGGAACACTTGCCTTATTCCTGATTTTGCAGGGAAAGCTTTCAGCTTTTCACCATTGAGTACAATGTTAATTGAAGGCTTTTTATTCATGGCCAGAGTTCTCAGTTTTTAGTAATAAGCTATACTCTGGCTAATCCAAGCAATAATGGAACTTATTAAAATATATGTTTTGACCCACAGAATCTCTGGAAAAGTGAGAGAGATGGAGACAGTGCTTGTCTACTGTGGGGGTGGCTCTAGTTGAGATAGCACAGTGTCCAACTGTCTACAGCTAATGACACTCAGGACTGGGTGGCAGCAGCTTACCATTGCTGCCCTGGAAGAACAAGTCACGTCCACCATGGCACTTCCTAGAAGGTGGATTCTCTCGCATACGGCCATCTCTTACGCTGCTTACTTTGAAATCCAGGACTCACACTGATTGCCAGATTCTAGGTCACAGGCTTGATCACTAGCTGTGAGTGAGACAGGAAACATGAGTTTCTGACTTCTAGTTGGGAAAGTGGGATTCGTAAGGAAGAAATGATCAAACAGTAGGTACAGTGTGCAAAGATGTTGGATGATCACAAATGACAAACACCAACTATAGAAATAAAAGGATTGGAGTTAGTAGGCATATTACAGATAAACTGCACAACTTTCTTATTCTAGCAGAATTCAAGAAAATTCTGTCTAGATAATGCTGGGAGGATGCAGGCCTGGCAAGACAGAGATCCCTCAGCACCCAAAATTTTGCACAAATAAGCATACCAGCCTGGAATAAAATCAACAGGACAGAATCATAGGTGAAGGCTTCTTTTCTAATTCTGCCCATGTTTACCACCAAAACTGCATCTCTAATAATGCAGAATGTTCTACTCGCTCTGAAGAGCTTTATGTGAGGGGTTTTGAAAGTAAGAAAAGGATTCATTGAAGTTTATGTCAATTTTATCAATGTTACTTTTTCCCCCTTCTTACCAAACCTTTATCACTTCTCTTCGTTGAAGTTCTGCAATTCCACTATTTTAGTTTATTTTTACTTTTATGTTTAGGTGTGGTTTTATTTTTTTCCCCTTCTGTCTGATACTAAATGGTCACTTTCAATCTGAGGACTCATACTACTTTTTTTCAATTCTCAGCCTTTATCTTTTTTAAAAATCTAAATTTTAGTTTTTGTCAAAATAATACATGTCCATAACTTAGGAGTTGAACATACTACACAGTTACAAAATACAACAGCAGTTTCCTAGAGGGCTAATTCCATCAACTATATTTCTGAGTACTTATTAATATTATGTACCTATTAGCCAATATTTGTACAAATGAAAGAAGAATTGGCCAGACAGAAAAAATTTTGTAAATCACAAGTAGAAATGCTCTTTAAAAAAAAAAAAAAAGTTTATTTATTTGAGAGAGAGAAGGCGAGGGGCAGAGAGAAAGAGAGAGAGGGAGAGAGAGAGAGAGAGAATCTCAAGCAGACTCCACACTGTCAGCACAGAGCCCAACATGCAACTCGAACTCATAAACTGCGAGATCACGACCTGAGCTGAAATCAAGAGTCAGAGCTTAACTCACAGAGCCATTCAGGTGCCCCAGAAATGCTCTTTTTAATAAATAAGTATATTTTGTTTTATTTGAGTTTAAAATAAGAATAAAATAAAATAAAATAAATAAAACCATGGTAATTGCTGGATTTCATACACTTTTTTCAATAAAATTTATTACACTTACTTTCTGAGCACCTACTATATTCCAGGTACAATACTATGTATTTGAAATGCAGCAGTAAAGGAGAGAAAGATCCCTGTTCATATGGAGCTTGCATTTTAGCTGAGGAGACAGATATTAAATAATAAATATAATAAATACATAAACCATGTAGTACGTTGGATGATGAAAAGTGTTATAAAAAGTGCAGAGGAGAGGAGAGGGCCTGGAGGCTCCTAGGGGAGGGGCTGCTGTTTGAAATAGGGCGGCCAGCCAGTTTCTTAGGCGCGTGACCACTGTGCTTGCTTTAATGCTCTGTTGTTAACGTCACTTGGATCCTTAATCATTTTTGAACCTGGAGTTGTGTGTTTTCATTTTACACGGGGCTCACAAATTACCAGAGCAAATATATAAGAGAGCAAAAATGTTAGCCTTGTGGCTATCTGGGGGACAGTATTGTGGAGAGAAAGATCAGTACAAAGGCCCTAAGAAAAAATTCCTGATGTAGCAAAGGAACAACAGCAAGGAGACCGGTCTGGTTGGAGAAAAGGGAGCAAAGGGAGAGGAGTCGTAGGGGAAGTTATAGATGTGGTCAAGAGAGAGCAGATTGTTTAAAGCAGTGGTTGGCCACCTTTTTCTGTAAAGGGCCAGTTAGTAAATATTTTAGGCTTTGCGGGCCATATGGTCTCACTGCAACTATTCGACCCTGCTGTCGTAATAGTGGTGAAAGCAGCCAGAGACCATGCATAAATGAATATGCATGGCTCTGTTCCAATAAAATGTTATTTATGGACACTGAAGTTGGAATCTTGTATAATTTTCATGTGTCACTAAAGGTTCTTTTTATTTTTTTTCTACACATTGAAAGATGTAAAACTCACTCTTAGCTCCCAGGCTACTGTACAAGAAAATAAGCAATAGGTTGGTCACATTTGGCTCTCAGACAGTAGCTTGCTGACCCTGGCTTAAGGCTTTAGAGAGCATTATAAAGACTTCTGCCTTTACTCTGAAGCAATCAGGAAACTTTGAAGGCTTTTAAGTAGACAAATGATGTGACCTCTATTTTAAAATAATTTGGCTGCTTTGCTGAGAATGTAGTTTGGAGGCTGTTGCGGTAATCTAGGAGAGAAACAATGGCTCAGCGTAGGGTAGCAGCAGCAGGCAGTGGTCAGGAGCAATTGAATTTAGCCTGCGTTTTAAAGCTTTTTAGGGGAGGGTGGTGCTGGGTGGCTCAGTCAGTTAGGCATCTGACTTCAGCTCGGGTCATGATCTCACGGTTTGTGAGTTTGAGTCCCGCATGGGGTGAGCTCAAGCTCCACTTTGGGTGAACAAGAGCCTCGCTTCGAGTGAGACCCACTTCTCTCTCTCTCCCTCTCCCTCTCTTTCCCTCTGCCCCTCATGGGATTCCCTTCCCCTCTTTCTCTGCTCCTTGCTCACTTGTGCCCTCTCTCTCTCTCTCTGTCTCAAAAAAATAAATAAAGCTTTTTTTTTTTCTTTAGATAAACAGATTTCTTTATGGATTGTATGTAGAGTATGGCTAGGGTAGAAGAGGATTCAAGGATAGTTCCAGCATATTGGCCCAGGGAACTGCAAATATGGAGTTGCCATTGACTGAAATGAGGAAGGCTGAAGGTAGAGTGGGCTCTCAGAGTACGTCATGAATTCAGTTTTGGACATGTTGAATTAAGATTCCTACTAGCTTTCTAAGTGGATATGTTGAGAAGGCAGTTGGACATGAATGTCTGGGAGGTTGGAATGTAGTTGGTATTTAAAGTCAATAGACTAGGGGCCCCTGGATGGCTCAGTCAGTTAAGTGTCCGACTTCAGCTCAGGTCATGATCTCACGGTTGTTGAGTTCGAACCCTGCATCAGGCTCCGTGCTGACAGCTCAGAGCCTGGAGCCTGCTTCAGATTCTGTGTCTCCCCTTTCTCTGCCCCTCCCCCACTCATGCTCTGTCTCTCTCTAAAAAATGAATAAACATTTTTTAAAAATAAAAAAAAAGGCAATAGACTGGATGAAATCTTTAAAAGAGTGAGTATGGAAAGGGAAAGCAAGGAGTCCTAGGACGGAGCTCTGGGCATTCCAATATCCAGAGGCATCAGAAAAAAGTAGCAAAGAGTAATGAAGATGCAAGAAGGATGGATGCACGAGGGAGAACACCAAGAGAGTCAAGTGTCTGGAAAGAGAAGAAAGTGAACAACAGTGTCCAATACTGCCAATAGGTCAAGTAAAATGCAGTCTGTGAGTTGACCACTAGATTCAACAACACGTGGGTCATCACGAAGAACAGAGGTGATACCCCGCTTAGTGGCAAAAGCCTGAGTGGAGTTGGTTCAAGAAAGAATGGAAGGAAAACAACTGAAGACAGAATACACAAACCGATCTGATGTGCCTCAAAAGAAAGCAAAGAAATGGGTTAAGAAGGAAAGGAGAATGGAAACTAGGAGCTGGACTTATATGTTTAAGCTCCTGCTTCAATGTTAGAGTGTGAAAACTAACCATCTAACACTCTTCCGATACTTGTCACCTCCAGATTTTATGTTATTTTCATTTACGCAATAGTTTTAATATCCCTTTCTTTTATAGTAGAACTCTTAGGTTTAAATGAATGAAATGCTCATGACCAGTACTTTTACTACAGCTTCTCTGATACTGGATTCTCTAGTTCATTTCCTCCTTTGTTTCATTTTTCTTTGCCATGAAAGGCCTGAAGCTGTGGTCTTCCATTTTCCCGCAGGTGTGAAAATGCCTGACCATTGGCTTTATATTTGATCAATAGCTTGTTAGACATAAAACTCTGGGCTCGGGGTGCCTGGGTGGCTCAGTCGGTTAAGCGGCCGACTTCGGCTCAGGTCATGATCTCGCCGTCCGTGAGTTCGAGCCCCGCGTCGGGCTCTGTGCTGACAGCTCAGAGCCTGGAGCCTGTTTCAGATTCTGTGTCTCCCTCTCTCTGACCCTCCCCCGTTCATGCTCTGTCTCTCTGTGTCTCAAAAATAAATAAACGTTAAAAAAAAAATTAAAAAAAAAAACAAACTCTGGGCTCACTCTTTTCCTCAAAATTTTGTATTGGTTCTTCTTTTTTTTTTTTTTTTAATTTTTCTGGCGTTGCATATTGAGCTAGTTCTGTTCCTATGGCTTTTCTTGTACTTTTTGTCTTGTACTTTTTGTCTTGTACTGTTGTTCTTCTTGACTGACTTTGCAGCTGAACTCTTTTTGTAAGTAGCACCATGGCTGCTACAGTCCTTGGGTCCCTTCGCACATGAGAATGCCTGCCTGTTCTTTTCATACTTGCAAAATTCCTTGGCAGAGTATGACAGGACAGGCCGATACTTTCTCTTCTTCAGAACTCTGTAGGTGTAGACAAAACCTCTCAGCACCATTTCAAATTCTCTCTGCTTTACCCTTTTACCTTCCTTCAGTCACGGTTGAAGCAACCAGCTCTGAATAAGTTTCAATCACCTTCATGGAGTCGTAGTACCTCGCTTCACACCTGTGTGCGCCATGCACTTCGGGCTTCCCCCCTGGGGCTTCTCAGACATAGGCTTCCACCAGAGCACAGACAACTTGCACATGCAGAGGAATTAATATCATCCCTGGGGGGTCAGGGGATCATGGTCTTGCCACTTTCCTTCTCTGGATGGTCTAGAAACATATTTCATAAGACTTCTAAGACAGTCCCAAGGGACTGGGACTGGGACTGGGGCTAGTTGCCCCTAGCAATGGTCTACTTAATAATATATTTTTGTATTCGTCTTTCCCCTTTCCCCT